CTGTGCCACTTCCTGCAGAACGCTGCTGAACTTTGAGATTGGGCACTGGCTTTCATTTGTTTTTTCTTAAAAAATTGGAAGAGGGAGAAAGGACCCTCCTGAGGAGAATTTAGGCATGAGGGTTTTATTGATACATGCTACTTCTACCTTTAAGAAGGTGGGATGGGGTAGAACTTAGGGAGAGTTTCTTGAAGCATTGGATTTAGGATGCAAAAACCAAGAACACTATAGTGATGGTTCCATTGCCACTCTCTGGAAATTGAATCTTCAGGGCCTAATTTGTATAACCCAAATTATTATCTGAGTTCTGTAGGGCATGACCTAATGATCAGAAAAATGTCTAGAATGTTGAGTTTATCACTTCACACACAATGTTAATTCTCTTTAATTTTATCCTTCTGTGCTTAGCTGTTCTTAAAGCTAATAACCTGGTACTCATACATAGAAAAGGAAGTCACAAAAGTGAAAAGAGAGCAAGAAAACCTAGGAAATATGTTTGTGTTTTTCAGACTCAGAAACCGGACAAAATTTAATTTCTGTTTTATCCTTTATGTAGGATGGAATCAACAGAAAAATGTGAAGCAGTGATTGCTCATTTTAATGGAAAATTCATTAAGACACCACCGGGAGTTTCTGGTATGTTGCCTGTATTGCTATTCTGACAACATAGATCAATAGATGGCCTTATAGTTTAAGCACATCATGGGGACAGTTATACCTGGTTTGTCGTTCATTAAAATGTAACACCGATTCCTTGGATAGCTAGTATATTTGCTGGCCTGGAACTGAATAATGCCACTGTTGTAGAAAATAACATCTTGATTGCATTTTCATAGTAGAGCTTCACTGAGAAGCTGAGCTGTTGTGTTCTGCTCTACCAAATTCTGCATTGACCTCAGTTGAAGTTAGTTGAACACTCATTAGAACAAAGGTTGAATGGTGTTACATAGATCTATTAGCTGCTGTGGTTTTTGTTTGTTTGTTCAAGTGACCAAAACTTTGCTATCTACCCATGCTTTTGTTTGAAGTCATTCACTTGCTTGCAGACTGGATTCCATGAACAATGTCTTTATTGTGGCCCGCATACAGAAAATCCTTTTGAAGTTCATTGAATTTGTCCACTCTGGCATCTGAAACAGATTTTTAAGTTCTTGAGCACGGGAAAAGGAGACTCACAGAAAATGCTAGGAAAATATAAACGAATCGGAGTAAAAATGCACAGGAGCTTAGTGGCAAGACTTTATGCTCACGTTACCTTCACTGTCAACTTACTACTTGCCTGTTAAAAATATAATTACAGGAAAACATACTTCCCATTAATTTAGATTTGAAGTAACTTTATATAACTCAGAAGGAAAATTTTATCACAGAGCAGCAGCAGAGTAAATAAGGAAGCAAAACAGGATGCTATATGAGGAAAGAATACATGGCTAATATTCCAGGCTTCCTTTAGTAACTATTTTACAGGGAAACCCAAGAAAGGATTTTTACAAGTTAGTGTTATTGACACATTTACTGGTGTTCTCATTATCCCATTGATAACACATCCTTCTTGCCCAGACCTTAGCAAAGAGAACACAACAAGAGGAAAACCACAAACACAGACAGCAAAAAAATTATGAGGCTTGTTTAATAAAACTACATACACATCTCATCCTTGAAAGTTCAGTCCTGCATTAGTCAATCTGTGCTTTTGTAGGCATGGAAGGATGCTTCCCTTTATCCAGCCTGATCTGTTGCAGGGTCATGTTTTGGCCTAAGTTCCTTTTGCAGATTCTCTGCACTGAGATGTGTTTCATAGCCTACCAAACAGTAATTTCATTAAAATTGTGGACTTCAGGGGTAGGGGGCTATAACTTCCATTTTCCCATTGAATATCTTTGTGAATATCCTTTGTAGATCATTATTTTATGAGGTGGAAAATCCTTGAGGCAGCAGGCAGATAATAGTACAGGTTGCACCTCCAAAATCAGGGTCCAGCAACATCCATGGTCCATCATGACCATGGATGTTCCAAGATCAGAGTCTCAGCATGCTGCATGGGGGTGGGAAACTGGGAGCCAGCAATGGCTCAGTTGGGCTGAGAATGGCAAGAGCCGGTGCGCAGCTCAGCTGGGCTGCGGGGGAAGCTAGAAAGCCAGTGGGTTGGTGGGGAGCTGGCAGCAGGGGCCTTGAAATGATCTCCCTGGTCCAGAAAAATCCCTCCTCCGGGACCTCTCAGGTCCCAAGGGTGCTGGACTAGGGAAGTCCAACCTGTACTATTTTCATTAGCTGCACTGTTGTCCCCTTTCATTATGCTTTGTTTTATAAATAGTGAAATTGCTCAGATACCATTTCAAGTCTCATGTGCGGGAGCAGACAATGTTCTAATTGATATGTAGGCATGTCTAACCAAAAGGAAAGGACTGTGTAGAGTCTGTGTAAAATTGGCAATTGAAAAATCATAGGAGCTCCAGCTAATGTTTTGTAGCTTGCTCATTTGCAGCTCTGTGTCCTCCCCATGCCTGGATGGGCAGCTGTCAGCTTATCATAGCTGATCACTCCCTGCGTTCCGTGTGCCCTTTTGAAACCAGAGTTACACCCTTGTACTATCAGGTTTTACCAGGTAGAAGAAGCTAGTTGTTGGGCGGGATTACATTATAGGAATGATTTGTGAGAGCAGCGTGGAGGAAGGAGTAGGGTGGGGCACAAACTGTGTAAATGAGACTGCCTGGGGCCCATAAGATACATTCATCATTAATACAACTACTACTTAGCATTACTTTGCTCATTATTGAAATGAGTAGGTGAGGAAAGGAGTCCCTGAGAGGAGCTACATCACTTAAGGCTCAGTAGTATTACCATGTAGGCACAGCCCTGAGTTGGGGCTGGTGGGAAACTGCCCTGTCCTTTGGGGAGGATTTTTGTGGAGATGGCATTCATCCTGGTGCTCCCTGACATGTAGGCTGAGTTCTTCCACTGATAATAGTCCTGCAGAAGGTACAACTGATGCCTCACCCTGCACTGCAGTTTGACTGAAGGAGGGTAGGCCATTCAGCAGTTGTTCATGGCCCTTAGCAGGCTGCGCTTAAAGGCAGTGGAGAAGGCTCACACTCATGTAAGAAAGAGGCACAGACTGCTACTAAATGGATAATAAGAGGGTAAAGTGGTACAAAGTAGATTATCATCTTTTTGGGGAGAAGAGGGAGCAAGTTTAGAGAAGTACACAGTGAAATTGCAGAAGTGGAACTGTATATTTAAACTGAAACACTGTGTCCTAGAAAGTTGGCTAAAGTCAGCAAAGTGGATATTTAATGCTGTTACCAGGATGGAGCGTGTGGAGGGGGGAAAGGATTGTAATGAAAAGGGGGTAAGAAAAAGATTTCTGTTTAAAACACATTTTCATCATACAGCTTTTAGTTACAATAACAAAGATTGGGTTTTAATGAAACATGGGTTTAAACACAGCTATAGGAAATAGAACTGGACCTCCTGGGCAGCATGAGAAGACAGATCAGGAAACCTTTATGCAAACATAAGTGCCTTATAAAGGCAAAAAATAATGAATGGGGTTCAAGTTTGTATCCTGGCACACTCAAACTTCTAAGAGAGGTGTGCCGTATGCAACAATTTCCTTATGCAGGCTATTAAATAACCAGTCATATTCCCAACCCTGAGAGGTATCCAAGATTAATATTAAGCTGGTTCTTTATGTAAATATCTATATCTTATATGAAGTGCAAACTCACTCCCTCGCCCTAATCTCGATGTGGTATCACATCAAGAGTTTTTCTTTTGGTTTGGGTTTTTTTAAGTCATTCAAAAGTTAAGACTCACTGTTTAAGTTTAATCAAGGTTTAATACACCATGTATATAAATCCACAGTAATACCTACTATCTATCGAAGCTTTTCTAATGTGCTGAACAGTATGACTTCTGGTAACAATTATTTCTTTTTCTGGGATTATTTTTTGGTTAACTATGCTAGATATTTTATCCCATAAAATGAGATTTGTCATGACTCATGTAACTTTACTAGGAGAGACTTAACTTCTGCATCTGCTGACTTTTTTACCTGTGCAGTTAGTATAGTTTTAATATTATTTTATCATAACTTGCATTTAAATTCCTTTTTCTTTTTATTTTTTTTCCCTTTACTGAAGAACATTAAAGATTCTCAGACTGTTACATCTGAATGTCACTGAAGTGAATTTACATTTAGGGAATGAACCAGATAGCGCTGACTGCAGAAAGTCAAGTTTAATTCATATTCTGCTTAATTAGCAAAAGGGGAGTTTACATGGATTAGTTCTGCAATTTGTGGTATATTCCAAATTCTGTCAATCAGTACTAGCAATTTTTTAGCTGGCATTAACCAACTGTGGATTTCCAGTGAGCTTTGCAAGTATCCACAGGTGCTAGAACAATTTTTACAGTAGGAGTGCTGAGAGCCACTGAACTAAATTGTAAATCCTGTATATAATGGAAACCACTTCAAGCCAGGAGGTTCTGCAGCTTCTCCCACACCCCTAGTTCCAGCACCCATGCAACTACCTTGCACAATTTCAACACACACAGTTAATTTTTACAGGTTGGACCTCCCTAGTCCATCACCCTTGGGACCTGACTGGTCCTAGATGAGAGTTTTTGCTGGATCAGGGGAGATCTTCCTATCCCCCCTTTCCATTGGCCCCTCCCAGCCCTGGTTTTGCTACCAGCCGTCTCTTCTTTCTCCCTCCCCATCCCCTGCTGCTGCCCCACTGCTATGTGTCAGGCTTCCAGCCTCACAGGGCATCCCTGGTGCCACATGTCTGGCCTCACCAGGCAGCCCCGCTGCTATGCACTGGGTGCCTGGCCTCACAAGACTCTTGGCCACCAGCCCTCCACCGGGACTCTCTGGTCTTGCATCTGTGCCAGATCATGAATGTTGCTGGACCACAGAGTCCTAGTTAATAGAGTTTCAACCTGTACAAATTTTACTATCTGCCATTATAGATCAAGGAGACAATCTGGCTCCTTATCCAGTTGTAACCCAAGTTAATCTTTCATCAGTGATCTGGACTGTATCTGTTTGCATCAGAACTCAGGTGTCTTTGTGTCTTCTCCACAACTCATGGAAGCAAATCCCAGACGTTTTTGTTGTTGTTGTTTGAAATCTGTTTTATAGCTCATTTTAGAACTAAAAGTTAATCCAGAGGTTGAATAAAATGGCTCTGATTTATGGCTTCATGTTCTGAACTGGAAGTCATAAAAGATGGTTGCAAGTGTATTGATTGTGACTCACTGGTTTAAGATTTTGCTGGGGGAAAAAGGAGTGTGTTAGTTGCCCTAATTTGGAGACAGTGTGGCAAAAGGATTTTCAGAAGACGTGGAATCCAGAATGCGGTCCTTATCTGTCTTCTTTCCAAAAGATTTAAGAGTGAGCGTTGGAAAATTATTTTAGCTGCTAGAAGCGATGAGCACTGTGTGTTTTTGATTTTGTAAGTTAATTTTAATTTTCCTGTGTATCCTGTTGCTTTTATTAGGTATCCAGTTCAGATAGCAATGTCCTGAAGCCAGATGCTAGTACTTCATATTAAGTAGCTCCTTTCTCCATGAGTGGTTCCATTGAAGTCATTGGGACTATCTGTGGTGTATCAGAATCTGGCCCTTCATTT